GAACGCGAGCGATTTGGAAATCGAAATTCATCGAGCGTTCCGATCGGTCGCGCGGACAACCGTCTGCCACCGATGACGACGGAGGAAAATCGGATCGCGAGGAATGCGCCGCCGATTTCCATCGGTTATCGTTTCCATTCGGCCTGGCGGCCGATGCATATTTTTATCGTTGCACAACGATATCGAGCGACGCTCGAGCATAATTCCAGACGAATCGATACGCGGTTTCTCGCTGCACCCGTCCCTCACCGCGTGCCGCCAAGACGAAACTGTTGCCATCCCCTTCGCCCGCTCGCCACCGACTCGATATCGAGCGTTCCGCGCGTAACTAGACACTGTGAGCACACCTTAAGGCTACTTTGCAACGGAACGGTGCCACTACCGCATTACTAGCTATCTACGGTGCCGCAGCCGGTTTCGCCGGGCTATTACTTACCAATACTGTTATTACTGCGTCACCGACGAGAGACTCTCGCCCGCAGTTCCATGATTTACCGTCTTAACGAGCAATAACCGTGGAATCTAGCCCACAGATCGTTTCGCCGTCGACGATTCGGGACGCGACCGACGCAACTGATCGACCGGATCGCTCTGTTTAACACGTTAAGCGCCACGGAAAATGTTGAGCGTTTCTCTCTAACCTTATAAAGAATATCCATCAATTTATTTTATCCCTTTACAATCGAAAGTTTGTCACTAGAAATGCGCAGCGTTTTCTAATGAGGCGTAAGTGATATTCTTCGGAACTAAGAAATGAGGAAACTTACATAGGTTAACACGTTAAGCGCCACGGAAATCTTCAGCGTTCTCCCGCAGAGCTTCCCTTTTTTAGCAAAGAAAAGCAGGGACAATTGTTAATTATTTGGCGTTGCAATGTTTGCATTACACTATTATCAACTTAGTTACATTATTAAACATTTCACATCGGTTATCTTGTATGTTACGATTGTTTTCTAGTCATTTAGAAGCGTCAGTCAGTAGTGACTGACATGGCGCTTAACGTGTTAACTATTTGAGGACGAATGAAGGTATATTGAGGTGAAGCTTCTGGTATTGAGATTTCGAAGTTTCACAGTAGAGAATGTAGTAGATACTATTATTAAGAGAAAGTTACGAGGGGATAATTGAATTGTTCACGTTATGAACGAAAGTTGTAAGCGAATCATTTAATTGTTTATGTAATAAACTTCTGTGGATGAAGTTTTTAACACTACAACTACCGAACACTGAAATTGACCTTTTGAATATTCTCTATAGAAACTAATTGATTCATGATTCAATTTGCATATTGCCAAATCAATTTCTTTAATAACTCCCGTCTAATAACATTCGTATAAACACAGTATATATATAAATCTGCGGTAAACTTTGATAAAATCCACTTCACTGCTCGATTCTTCTTAAATTTCATTGAACGCGTTGCGTATTTTATTCGGAAGGTTTCTGTTGCCTTTTAGTTCACTTGTTTGTAATATTTATTTGTACGTTGGATATAATGTAAATGACAGACTGAAGAGTAAAAGGTGAAAACTCTTTAGTCGACCTAATAATTACAGAGCAAATAGGAACAGGTAGACTAATAATAAATCTTTTATGGTATTCCCAGATTCCAATTACACTGGACAAAATGAGAACACTGTTAACTCGACAAAAGTTAAACAAATGGAGTCATGCTAGAAAAGCGCGGAAGCGATTAGGTCAAATAGACCAGAAGAACGCGGCAGGTTTAAACGTTCACGCGTAATTTCGCGCACGAATTTTTGCGTTGAACGTTTTCTCTTTTTCATGTAACGCTGCGGAGACTTTTCTTCCGTCGTTTTCCAATAAGTTTAATCGCCGTGTTTCGTTCGTTGAATGACTATACTAAGATTCCTTCCATCTGGCGTGTCAACGTTACACACGGATCAAAGAAACTGGGAAATTGATGGCCGCGTTAAAAGTATAACGGCTGATTACATAACATTGATTTATCAGTTTCTACGAAAGAAACGAACGGGTACGAATTTAGATATCTGTGTGTTTCGAGTTACTTTTCATAAATTATAGAAGAAATATTTTTTACATTTCGGGACTATTGTATTTGTTGTATATTGTTTATTTCAGAATGAATTATTAAGCGAGCTATGGTTGACTATGATTTACTCGAAAATGTCTAATAATCGTATTTAATTTCTATTTGAATCTTCCAATTAAGACTTGATTTACGGACGTTTATTCTACACTTTATTCTATTGTTCGTCTATATAAATCGCGAAAATTGTAGCTTCGAAGTATTGCAATAAGTATTCGCATAATTGCACGAAGCAAAATCGACGAAAACTGTTACTAAATAATGTTCGAAGAATCCAGTATCTGTCAAATTGACTAAATCTAGCGTTAAACAAATTTCGGAAGCTATAGTTTCTACAGTATAGCAACGTTTCTCTTTTGTTTCGTGTGAATGGTTTCTTTGATTTCGTAGTTCGAGCAGCATGTAGAAGCTTCGACTCGCGTGACAATAAATGAATGTCCTAAATGGTCGCGAGCTAAATATATTGAAGACCGTATATTTGCAAGCGGCCTTCAGAACGTTATCTCGATCTCCAATAATCGTAACGACGACACCGAGGTCGCGACTGGAATCGCCTTCGAATCTTCTAATTGTAACAATCGCTCGTCACGGTTCCGACAATAATTCTGACATCAGCATCGTTTATCCGTCCGAGGGCAACATAATAATTAAATCGTTCTACTTCTTCGGCCGCGGTGCCGATTACACTGTCGGACTACGGACGACGCTTCGGCGGCCGGAATAATGCGGGCATGCAGAAACTGTAGCAATCTTGACCCATAGGTCACACTCGTTACTTCGAACCTTTAGATTAACAATTTCTTTCAATTTCATTCAAAGAAAGCATTGCTAAATCGGACAAGTTTAATAACACGGTAGTCTTAAAACTTAACACAGCAATCTTATAAATTGTCTAAATACTTCTTCTCCCATTCTATTCAAAAAAAGGCATCGCCTATTAGGAAAAGTCTAACAATACAGCAGCCTTCAAAACAACATCGTTACAAATCGAATATTTTACACTCGATTTAATAAACACGAATCAATGATGCGGACACAGCTCATTTATACACGAACAACCAAGAAACTACATCGAATAGAATGACGAACGATAGAGCCAGAAGTCATAAATTAATCACAAAACGAATGATAAAATAACCATTAGAGTTGTTAAGGACATAGGAAACGCTGACTAAAATACAGTAGAGTTAAAAGTAACTCGCCGTAACAGGGCGGCGAAGAAGACGCTAGCTAGAGGGTTGAAGAGACGGCGAGCAGGAGGAATGGAACCGTTTTACGCGTCTATCCGCCGTCGGCGTCATTAATAATTAATAAACGTAAACTCTTTACGTCGGGGGAATAAATAAACGAAGCGCGTTCTCGATTCCGCGACGGTTACGCCATCGCCGGATCGAATTCTCGCGTCATAGTTGCGAGGAGATCGCGAGACACGGGGGGTAGACCGCAACAATTAGGGCGGCATACGGACCGTATTACCAGCATAATCAAATCACATGGACCCTTGGCAGCTCCGTGATGCCCGTCGACGGGGCAACAAAGGGGAGACGCGGCCACCCTCGCCGGCCCACCAACCTACCCCCTTTCGCCGCCTATTGGCCTTGTACGCCAGTTGATTCATCTGTTTGCTTTTTATTATCTCGCCGGCCACCGAAACGCGTCTGGCAACCAGCCGGGGTAGTGTTAATCAATTTACGAGATCGGGAGACGATGGACACCGTGTACAACCGATACGCACCCCCTAACGATCCCCGGTCGACCGGAAGATATTATCTCGGCGAAATCTCCGCTTCACGCTGACCGGAAAACGCGGTTCTCACTGCACACTCGATTACTGTCGTTTCCCGGGAGATTTCAGCGTGAGGGAAAGAATTGTGGGTTTTCTTTAACACGAACGCCGCACGATTTCACGTAGGAAAATACAGAAAATAAAAGAGATGTAATTTTATTATTATTGCACGTTTGTCTTGCCGGATGTCGTCGCATTAGGTAGGATTATTTTTAACATAACGATTTTTGCGAATGATCATCGTTTAATCGACTGAATTATAGTGGTTCGGTCTGGTCGGGGGTCACCGGTGACCCTCGCGGTATTCAATGTGTTAATTCAGTTGGTTGCTTTTTAGTTTGGATGTCTGACGTGGTTCTTTTGAGATAGCTCTTGAATAAGGTAATTTGGTTGCTTTTTGGGGGGGATTAACGGAAGACAGTTTTGTGAAATATAAAATGAACTTCTTATCAACCCTTATTTGGAATACTTTTAAATCACTTCACTAATTTCTGAAGTTTACTATTTATAGATAAAAATATGATCTAAAACGTGATGTAAACCTAATCATCAAGTGAACCTCACCGATGTTCAACGAATTGCTGTCAACCCCTTCAATTTGCAAAATTGGCAATTCTCAGGAGGAGACTCAGAAGAATTACCTGCCGCGAGTTCTAAATTAGACAACGTATCCTCCTTAAGATTCTTCGAATTTCTATTCCTACAACTTCAACGACTTATTTCTCGGTTACTTCGTAGAATCACGCGCGCAGCGGTCTACTTTTAACCCTGCTACGCTAACATCCGGTTCACTTCGTATTTAATCATTCCGTAGCTCTACCATTGTTTCAAAGGTACATTGAAATTGCATAAAAGCTCAAGAAAATCGAAACGGTACTCGCGTTTCTACATTTCCAATAACACAATAGGACCTCAAACAACCGAGTCGTTATTCGATTCAAAAGATTCGTTTCTATCGGAAAATGCCGTCTATATTCCGTCGTAAAACGCTGAATATTTCTACTGAAAAACGTTCGAGTGCACGGGGTTAACTAATTCAGTGAAACGGAGACTCGACAAAAATGGATCGAGATAGTACTGCGCCTCGATCGATGAATCGAGTCGACTGTAGCAGGGTTAAGGGATGATCTGGCTTTCCCGTACCTTCGTGAGCTGGTGGAAGTGTGCAGAAGACAGCGCGAGCGTGCGTAACACGGCACGACGTTCAACGTGGCTTGCCCCGCGAGCACTGTTTTCTAAGACGACCGCCGGCTCGAGGGTTGCGCGGCTCCCACCCTCTGGCAGCGTCCCTCTCGCGCACGCCATGACGTCGCAGGCGAGCGTGGTGTCCATGTGGTGTCCTAGGCAACCCGACTTTCCATGTATATCCCGCCCACTGTCCTTGTCTCCCTTTCGTTGCCTCCGTTCCGCCCTCCGCCACCCCCCGCGATCCAACCCTCCAACAATGTCTATGCCTTCTCCTCTGTTTTCGTTTCAATGTTTTCCACCCCTTGGTCTCGGATATACATCTACGCTTGCTTTTTTCTTTTCTTTTCCGTCACGGTCGTTCCCTTTCGTACATTCCAGGGGTGTTATTTATTCTAGAATCTCGTACGTTTACTATTCCAGCGACGGATAGAAATATTATTAACCCTACGAGATGTATTTAACCGGTGACTCAGTTGCTGCTCGATACAGTAACATTGTGAAGTTCAGTGTTTAATATTAAACTTTGCATCACAGCTATGTGGATCACCGTTATTAGTTAGTTATCGTTGAGTTTCGAATAACATCTTCTGTATCTTATCAGTGTTCAATATTTCTATTAAAAATCTTCCGATTGTAGAGTTCAAGTCTGAGTTTGGTAACTTCTAACTCTTTCCGTAGCTTTATAGTTTAGATATCAATTTCATTTTGTGCGATATATTGTATTGTTCATATTAAAAATCATACGTATATTTACGTCAACTGGAATTCACATTACTTATCGACAATCAATCTAAAAATTCAATATTAAAAACAAAATTATCTTCTCGATTTGTCAATCGATTTTCGTCCCGAATTTTTTCACTCCCTTTCACTAGGAATCCCACCCCCTACATTTACGTTCCTCCTCGACCCTTTCCCTCTCGATTTCACCCCCTTCGATCTCGCCGTTCCTCGCCTTCCTCTGGATCATCCTCGCTCCTCCCAACCGCTCGGTTCATACACCTTCTCCGTCTCACCCTGTCCGAACTACCCCGAACAGTCCCGTGCCGCGCTCGCTCGTTTACTCGCACGCGATCTCGCGTAGGCACGCGTCTGCGTCACTGCTGCATTCGTTCACGCAGACAAAGAAGAAGGGTGCACGCGCGCGCGCGAGGAATACAGAAATCGATCCGGTCACCTGCCTTCGAAGACTCTTCACACCCCTTCGCGGTGCTATCCCCTTTATCAGGAAAGAGGCGCAGTCCCGCGCCGATCCCTTTGTTTCACCCTCGCGAACCGTCGACGCCAGAAATTCCTTTCGAATATCCTTTGCTCGCTCAAACGAACCCCCGTTTATAATATTTTTAATAACTTATTGTACTGCATTATTTTTAATGATCTATTGTATTATATTATTTTTAATAATCTATTGTATTCTACTATCTTTAATAATCCACTATCTTATCGTTAGTAATCTTTTATATTACCTTTAATAATCTGTTATGTTATCTATAACAATACATATGTGATCTATTATATTACGTTTGACAATATATTTTTAATACCTATGTACATATATTATTATGTCACCCCAGAAGTAACATCGTTTCTCATCTCAGTATATAAAATATATTTCAATGATAGTCATAATGAAAATAATATCGAAGAATCATTCCAAAAATGTTAAACATCGTACGTAACGATGATCGATACGTCAACGATGGCAAGAAATGTAAGTATTAATTTTTTACACTGAAAATTACTATTTAAAATACGACAATACTTATAGGATGACTTTTTATAGGATGAATTCATACGATTTCTCCTTTATTTCTACTCTATTTCGAAACTTCCACCCTATATCCTCTTTTCTAATTTTCGCTTACCCTATCACAGGGGTAGTTTTATTTAAAGAATCATTCGTGGTTTCCTCGAAAAGAAAATATTTTTCAAAGAGATTACATATATTAGAATACCTGTCGTATGTTATATTTACTTCGTTCTATTTTTTTCTTCGAGGGGTGGTTCTATTTTGAAAATACTTTAGACACGTTCGAAAAGTATGTAAGTATATAAACGCGTGTTAATCTCGATGTTAATGATCAAAAGATACATTTAGTAGAATATCACATGTCGTAGATTCGTTTCATTGTTCTGTTTTCTTCCTGCAGCGGGGGTGGTTCTATTCGTAGAGCGCTTCTGTTTCTGACAAGGGATTATTTCGATGACTCTCCGCCGCGCCGCGCGCGATCGAAGCCGCGTCCGCTTTCGATTAAGGTGCGCGCGTATTCCAGCGAATGACTTCACCGCTCGCAGGTGTGCATCGTATTTAGATAATATCGATTGCTGTTGCACGTCATAGAGCCGACCTAGAATCGACCCCTCGTGACACAGTTAACCGCGGTTGACAGTGCCTTAACACGAAAGCTCGGTCGAAATCGTTAATGCGATTTGCGCACGAGTTGGAGGGGTGCCAAACAGAATCTCGAAGTTCGAGAAACGGTTAATGAGGGTGCTTGAACTTCGAAAATTGAGAAGTCCGATACTGTCGCCTGTCACGTGTACGAGTACGTGCGAGATTAATCTTTTGTACTCGTATGTCATGCTAGAAATGACAATAGAAATTTATCATAGAACGTTGGAAATTGTATGAAAAAGTAGCACACTTTGAAAGAGTATACAAATTAAATCCTATTATAATAATAGTAATAAAATAAATATAAAACGTGGAATTCTAACGTTGTAAATTATTTTAATCCATTTCTCTAAAAATAAACACAGGTTTACACTCAACACCATTGAAAATAAATCTACTCTGTCGTTAATAATTTATTGAAAAAGGTGAAAAATTCTGAGTATATTCTACGTTCACGTTCGCTCTAAAGTATAATAATTGAAAACAGAGGAATAATCCAAAAGCATTGACTAACACCTATGCTGGTTAAATTCTGTTTAAAATGCTCAGTAAAAATCAATGTTAATTTCGTTACACATAGGTCCAAGTGAAAGATTGTTTTACTATTGTCAGTGTTTTACCTCTGAAACAAATGTGCATTTAATAGTTTGTTTTGGTTCCTGTGAATTACCGATGGTAAAATAAATCTAGCGAGCATGGTACCGAAGAAAATCGTGTGGCAAGTTGACGAAAGGGGCTAATATTAATTAACTCGTGAAAAGTAAGGAAGGGAATCGTTCGAAACAAATTAAGAGGCAACGAAATCAGAAGTTTGGATGAATAATCTTATCAATAACGTAGAATCTTCTCGTGGCACGAACGAATCGGCCCATAAATCGTTACGGTGAGATTCATTCACTAATGCGACGTCGCCATAAACGCCTCGTAATCCCTTAAAAACGTAATTGCGGCTTATTGGATCGAGGATAACGATATTACGGAATGATTGTCATACCTCATGCGAACGGTCTTACGTAAATGGCAGGAAGCTTCTTGCATAACTCGCCTTCGGACGATTTTATAACGTTTAACTGAAGATTGCACTTGTTCTTGGATCGACGATGATTATTTGCTGTGGCGCTTGCACATAAATTCAGCTAAATCCTCTTACGGGCATTGCTTCATGCGTTACGGGAAAATACAAAAGGCCTCGGTCCATGAAATTACGATCTTTCTCTGTGGAATTTCTCCACCGGGAAATCTTCCAACGTTAAAAGATACCAAACGGAAAATTATATTTTGAGGAATAAGGCAGGATTTCTGAAAATTGTTTTTCAATAACTGTTCATCCAGATTTACTTTCTCTCAATAATTAAATCCTCTATATTTTACTAAAAGCTTCAATTCCCAACAAATTGAGAAAAGAAACATACAGTTTCTTTAGCAAAAAAAGTTCATAAAGGAATAAATAAATATTTCTCGCAATTTTAAACCTCATTTTCGTCAATTTATAGCATAGTATAAAAATAAACAGCTCCAAGAATGAAACAGCGTAAAGAATCCCGCCTAATTTGATCTGCCAAGAACTAAAATACACCCGAGAAACGTGAATAACGTCCGTAAACTGCAATAATGACTACAATAATGGACAATATCTCTCACATTCAGCCATCTTCCCGTCCAAACATCCGCGAAATGAAAAATTCCGTCGTGCGACGACGCGACAAACATTTCTCGAATGAATCGGACGTTGCGTCGGGGTAAATGTCCAGCAAAATCCCGGAAAACCGTGCGCGATTCTTGGATTTTCCCGGGAAACGCGCTCCGCATCCCGGTAGGGGATGAAAGGATGAGAGGGCGCCGCGTTCCCAAACAGGTCGATACGACGTGCGCGCTCATTCTCCACCGACACGTCTTCAGCGATGGACCCGTGCTGATTCTGCAGCCTGGCAAAACATGCCGCGACGTCGCGTTTCTCGTCGGTGATTCGAAACGAGCTTGACAATCCAGTGGACTCGAAGCAGAACGCGAAGGGCTGATCGCGATGTCGCTGTGACTCGCATCCCAGAGAACCTCTGATCCAATTAAATCACCGCCGAAGTAAATACTTCGGTGCTACGATGGCCATGGTCGAGTCGAGGGGCGAGACAAGGGTCGTGACAGTTTGACAATAATTTTGGAGGAAGAATCCTTGTCCAGCGAAGGTCCAATCAAGCATCTTTAAAAATGGGCACCAGATTCGCAGCCTGTGAGTATCAAGATTGTTTGGTAGATTACTGAAGGGTCGAAAGTAAAATTTCCAATTTGGAGAGTGGAAGGTTCGATTGTCATCGGTGATTGTTCTTGTTTAAGATTCGTCGAAGCTGGTCAGCCTTCACGATCATTACCAGAGACTGCTACATGGCAGTCAACCCGTGCCTGCGGGCTATGATATAGCGAACACGTTGAAATACTTCTCTCAGACTCTGCTATGTAAGAGTTTACTGTTTCGTTGTTTTCCGTTCTTATTGTGTTGTATGATGTTGCTTGTGTGTATCGTTACGCGAACTGATTTTTCGTTCATCAGCGTTGCTGAAGGAAGTCCGCGAAGCCCCCTTGGAGATGATCAAGTCCCAGAAGCTCGACGCGGAACGCATGGCGCTGTATCCGAATTTGGACTACAAGCAGCTGTACAATACTCTGACTCAGCTGATGGACGTTGTTCCGTCCATTCATATCGGTTTGCAAGGTCTGTCGTTTCTAGGGGGACTTTATAGCCCTTTGCACTCGACAGTTCTTCGCTAGAAATATTCGATTTTCTGTGGAAATGCAGGGGATAGTTTTGAAAATTCACTTATCGAGGAATCACGCATGAATTAAGAAACAAAATTATTTTATTTCAATATTTCATGCATTGTTTCATTGCGCTAAAGTTAATGTTAAATATGAAACTTCTTGGTTTCGCTGCATTTCGAGTGTAAGAGATTAACATTGATTTTGTAGACTTTTAGGGATTATTCTGAGGAGGATTGAGGACTTTCTGAGATCCTTTGAAAGTCTAAAAGCTGTTTGGTATTTGAGACACTTAAGAATCTCTCGCTATTAGAAAAATCTGTTGCATTTCAAACAGGGACGCTTCAACGATTATGTTATTTATCGTTTCCTCCATCTATAATACTTAGTCTCAAAGATCATTGTTAATTGAGCATTGGTTTTATCGTTACTCTGCTATTCGTTTGTACTTTCTGATTAATGATTAAGAAAGCGACAATTTTTCAGCGTTCGGACAAGCGTTGCTCCAATGTCTGGCGTGTCTCCTGCCGTTCCTCGATCACGATCTGATCGACAACGTACCGTACTTAACAGCGAGTTCAATCTTGGTGCTTCCGGTGGAGCTTCACCAGGACATCGTCAATTACCTCTGCTTTTATATCTTGCCATTCACGATCAGTAAGTCTTCCGTTCCTAGAGTAAAATGTTTACGTATAACATTCGATTCGACGCACATTACAGCGAGGAAGACGGAGGATGGTGTGGAGAACGCGGCCAGTCAATCAATAGCAGCCGTCATCATGATGATCTTCCAATATTCCAGTAATCCAGGTTCGTCTTCCACGAATTAACGAATATTAAATACAATTAACGAATACACTTGTTACACAAGTAAATAATCTGCAGTTTCTGTGCGTCTTCTCTTAATATGGACGATAATATGTTATAATAGAATAAAACTAATGTTAACATCGATCGGGAAAGAATATTACGAACGCGTTAGGAACATTTTTCCTATTCTACATCGGCTATTTCAGTTTCAATTCAACGAAGTGTTAATATCAACGTCAATACCGGATATAAAACACAAAAGCGTTTAATCTAATGGAGATAACAATATTAATAATACCGAATAAAAAATAGAAATATTTTTTAAATCTTCCTTTCCAGTAAATTCTAGTTCTAATACTTTGGTAACTTAACGATTTAATAATTTAGGAGTTATAACTCAACAGTTTCTTAATTCAACCCCAGATTCACAGACATTTACTGTACACTTTGTTCCATCGTTCTTAGAAAAATTGACATTCGTACATTTCGATCTTAGAAATTAGAGGTTTAAAAGTAGACAATCTTATATATGTATAATTAATATTTTATAAATGTTTATAAAATACAATACAAATCATACAGTCTCGTTTCGTAACTCTAGTGTCAACGCGTTGACTGCCACGATGGTCACCGGTGACCTTCAAAATTGCTTAAATACAATTACAATAAGAAAACCGACGTCGAATGAAAATAATTAGTAACGCAAACAGCTAGACGATAGTGTAACACGTACTGTGATACCAAGTCATTAATAATTATTTCTAATACCATTTGCCTTTGTTATGAAGGAATATGTATTATTACACAAAACGTTCGATCTTTTAATTTCAGCTCACCATAGACAATTGCTAGAGTGTTTAATGGCCGTAAAGCCGGGCGTGGTGAAAGACATCCTCTGCGTGGTGGCTTACGGAACAGCGCCGGCTAGAGCTTCCGCCGCGAAATTGCTGTTCTACTATTGGCCCTCGTTCAATTTGGACCTGTTCGATCGGAGAGCGGTTCTCATGAAGACCACGTGTAAGTAATCAACTCCGACAATGGCCGTTCGCCGAATGAAAATTTCTAGACAATTCAGAATCTCGAACTAATCCTATAGCAAATGGACTTCCAGACGACGTAACGCCGTTCGTGTGCCAAAGGGACACGTGTCCCAATCCCGGAAACGCGACGGCAGGTAAAGTCTGCTACGATCACCGGATATCGATCACATTCGCCGCAGAGAAACCGCCGCCTCTGTACCTCTGTATCGAGTGCGCGAACGAAATCAACAGAGAGCACCCTAATCAAATGTTTTACGACATGTTGCACCCCATGCAACAGGTGTCCATGGTGTGCGAGATCAAGGTGAGCAGGAGACTATGAGGGACGATAGTGAATCTGCTACATGAGCTGATTTCAAGGAAGGGAGTGTACAGTAGCGTGCAAAAATTCCCGGACAGATCGTTTTTGGCACTTTTACATAATAAAGGTTTTACTTCTAAAACCTCTCATATAACTTCTTGTTATTATGATATATAAAGGATATATTGCATGAGAGGATACTGTAGAACAATAATACTTATTGTATTGTAGATTTCGGGCTAGAGTGTTTAGGAAAGGAAATAATGCTTGTTTTCTATTATAATAATAATCTTTGCATTAACGATAGCGGTGCATAGATGCGGCGTGAACTCAATTAACAAAAATGATCTGGTCGGGAACTTTTGAACGCCACTATAGATATTCATGAGACATTCGAGGCTTCAGAAGTCAACGATCAAAATGAATATAATGAACTATTCGTTGATCTAGTTGACAAGTTGATTCTTAGGGTGATTCTCAAAAATCATTGACAAGTCACGTGTAAGTTCAATGAAGTCACCAATACTATATTTTTTATTTGTCAAGGATATAATTTGATCTTGCAACCAGCTACAAAGATCTGCTAGTAAATGAACAGTATTTTATTGCCTTTATTTGTTATTTTCGAAAGAAGTAATGAGTTTCAGAGGAAAGCAGCCAGTAGAATCAAACGTTAATTTAAGAGAAATCAGAAAACATTTTATTATCTTCATTTTTCATTTCATAAAGAAAGAAGCACCAATCTTTGAGAAAAGCGGCGAGAATAAAATCCGCCAGTCGATTAAGCGTTAATTTACGAGAAACTGAAGTGTAGTCCAATTATCGTAGAATTGCAAAGCGAACGACAAGACGGCGATCAGCGTCTGTTTCTCCACGGAGTGCGCGAGCTCGAACTGGAATCGTCCGATCCGTCACTGTCAGCACTGTCACGAGCATCGTCACAACAACGGTTGCGGCACCGATCACGTGTACCACATGGCGTTGCCGCACATGTCCAAACTGGACTCCCAAACCCAGACCTACCTGGTCCAAGCGATCGTCAGGTGAGAGATCCACGATCCCGGGTCGACGGTTAACATCGTGTTGTATACCTTTGCTGAGAGATCGTGTAACCCGCTTACCGTTCGATGAACAAGAAATGGGGACAGGGAATGGGAACTGGTTGGATAAGGGACACTTCGCAGTCGCTGTGATTTGCACGAGTTTTTCATGACGACGGTCGCACGCGGAGGGAAGAGGATCTCGTAACACACCGGGTGTCCCGAGTGAATAAATAGAATCTAAGCGTACTAAATAAATCCCAGTGAAAATTCATCCAACGTATCTAACAATTGACAGATTCAATATTTGAAGAATGAAACTGTGGAAATGAAACTCTGTTATTCTACATTTTTAAAAAATAGCTTCGATATTTATTTAATTGATATATACGTCAATTTATAACTTATCGAATCATATTCGAGAAACAAGTTGCAGTGAAAATTCATCTAACGTATCTAACAATTGAAGGATTCAATATTTGAGAGTTCAAACTGTGGAATCGATAATCAATTATTCTAAATTAAAAAAATATTACCATCGATATTTATATAATGCACATACGTCACAATTTACAATTCATTTATCGAATCATACAGTCAACACTGTTTCGTAGAAATATCGGTTGCATAATTCGAGATGACGAGACTGTTTCGCGAGCCTCTTTCCACCTTCGGTTCGTCGGTATCGAGATTCCGCTGCGAGAGACCTGTTCCCCAACGACACGAACGCACGTCGAAGTCGTTCGATCCGTTCCGTTCGCATCCGTTGATCCATAGATCGCGACCATTGACGGGCGTCGCCGCGTTTTCCGGTGTTCTTTCTAACAGTTGCGAGCCGTTGGAGATGGTGTTTTGTTTTAAGAGGAACCGTTTCCAGTCGATTCTTTCGTTCTTGTCATTGAATGGGCCCGAAGGATCTATTTAGCTCGACGAGTACACTCGAAAGAGACACGATGACGCGTACTAACGAATGATCGCAGGATCATTGTTGCTTTGCGTGTTTGTTCGTGCTGGTCCATCCTGCTTGGTAAGACATGATGCTGCGGCCACGTTCGACGGAGGCGTGCTCGGACATTTGAAAACGAACGACGCGATGAACCGTCGACGGAAATGACCTCCGGCGAACGTGCTCGACAAATGCTCCGAATATTATCGTTGAATATTCATGATAACGATCGAGATACAGTGTTGTAGGGTCTCAAAGCAAGTAAGCTTAATATTTCGATCGTTACTGAAGCTATTCTCGCGTCAGATCGGTTAATCTACCTTTTAATTAGCCTCGACTGCTAACCTGTATCTCGATCCGCCACCAACGCTGAAACCGCAAGGCACCTGACGTTGAACAATAGGTTTCCGTGGGAAAACCATTAACGACCGATAAAATCGTTTCTCAAACAGTCTAGACTTAGTACGAGCAACGAATGAATGCGTCGAAGGTTTCCCTTCGAAAAGAAAAGAAAAAGTAACGTCGAAAATTTCTTATGAACTTGAAGCTCGACAATGTTAAAATATGTCAGAGGACTCGCCACGACGATTATCACTTTATCTGCCACTCGAAGAGCTTGTAAATCAGGCCTCAATGGCCCTAAGCGCATCTACGGGTTATCTGATAAAAGATACAGTCCATATTTTATAATAATTGATCGAATGAATCGGCGGAGTCCGAGATTATCCGGGAAAGATTGTCCGGCCAGTGAAACGCGGCCGAGGAAAAGAATTCGATGGCAGCGGAATTGATAAACGAAGAAGGTTCGAGGGACGAGGTGCCGGGCAGTTCTAGCGTCGGGCAAGTTTTTCTCTCCGACTGACCAAGTGGCCGCGTAAGACACGTGACTTTGAAGCATTCACCCAGCGTAGAGCATAGGAAAAGTGCACCTTAAAAGTTGCAATGCGCCTTACCCGAGGACACCGCGTCGTAGCACGTCCTGGATACAACACACCAGCACCTGGTACCGTTCCACAAATAAAAACAGACCCACTGGTACTGGCTTTGAATAGATACCTATTACCTGAGACACACTGGTACGCCGCATGCACAGAGACACAATTTTAACGGGACGCCTGACCTGATTTTATTGATCCGGTTGCTGCAAAAACAACGATAAGCCCGTTCATTCGCCGACGTGGTTAACCCCGCGAAATAAAAAGTAGATGAATTTAATTCAGTTACGCACGCGAGGAACCAATTAAATGTTCTGACACTGCAATTTGAAGAAATTCGAAAAGGGTTAATCACTTTGGCCTGTGAACGTTTAAATTTGCATCGTAGTCTTATCGATGAGTTCGGTCGTTGAAATTTTACGCTGAATTGAGTTACTATCGTTCTTGTTTCGAATTAAATATTTCTGAGCTGTGTTTATGCAGCATCCTGATATTATCGTTTTCTTTAGATGATATTTTCGCCAAAAATGATTAATCACCACGTTTACGTTTATTTTCCTGGTGATTCTGTTAGTTGTAGAAATATTTTAAATTGTTTGATAATTAGATCTTTCTGTTTCCAATAGGAACGATATTTACACACTTTCTCGACACCCTGAATTGCATTTGGTAGTCTTCGATATTGCAACCGGCATGCACCGAAGTAGTTAGAATCCAGAGCCCAGTGAATCGATGTTTCGAACTGTTTAATTGGCGATCGATCCATCGTGGATCGTTCAAAAGTTTTCACTTCATCGGTGTAAATATCTCGCTATATGACCTGGAGTGATCGCGATCTGAGGTTGCGTCTGCCTCGTGGTCGACCTAGATCGACCGGTTCATCCTTAGCTCCTCGCGAAACATGTCTGAATCGTTGATCGATATTGTCGTCGATTATTGAAAGTAACTTTCGCTGGATTTCTTCGCAATCGAATCGTTCGATTAACCTGTAACGTCCCTAAACTGGAGAATGTTTTCCTTTGATATCAAAATCAGCGTGATCGCGAAGGAATTCAGATCACCGTTGAACATGGAAGCTGTGGTTCTTCGATGTTCGATGCATTTTTTCCAGCTCGCTTGAAATCGTTAGTGAAAAAAATCCGGGAAACTTCACTTTGAACAAGAAAGTAACCGCCCACTTAACAGACTGGACGGAGCGTATATGCAATGGGCGGAGTAAAATGTAACTGAAGAAACCATTGAGGATAACTGCCCAATACCCTCAATGTTCTTTAACTTTTCCCTCTCTACTACACGCTCTCAAGTATTAGAAACTATTAGGAATCAAAATTTAAAGCAAAGTTCATTTTAAATCCCCAGGAACGCCTCCTACCCAGCAAAGTGGGAGGGGCATGTGATTAGCGGGCGGAGAGTATGCCTAATGGGCGGAGTCTTTCAACCAGAGTAAAACCTCGAATAAGAGAACACTATTGCCGACAGAATCTAACGATTTGAAGCGACTCGGTCACAGAGAATGTCGATCTTAATAAAAGAGATCGTAGTCCACTAGCATTTCCAAAATCCGACCACTCGAAACTTTGCAGCGTTGTGTCGGCCACGGCACCAGACGCGAGCTCAAATCGCGTCGACCGCTGCCTCTAAAGACGTTCCTCTTTCCATTGCAGCCTGCTTAAGGAAGCTGAACCGCTAAGTATGGATAGTAACCGAGAGATCTCGGAAATAAGTACTAATAAGGGCAGCACAGGATTCCCAGGAAGCAGCGGCGGCGGTTCCGGTGGCAGCGGCGGACCAGCCGACCCGTCGAGTCTGGAGGAGAGGCAGCTGCTCGGGCGATTCGGTGTCTGGCTGCTGGTGGGACTTTGCACGCCGAACCAGGACACATCCGTCGAAATTCTCGGGCGTTTATTGTCAATGCTATTTCATTGGTTTCATGTTACTGCCTACTCATTCGATGGTACTGAAAAAAGCCTTATGCATCTTATCTTTTCTGTTGGTAATTTACCACTTCGCATATATACACTTATGACGTAGACGTAGAAAGACGTAGGTAGTGATGGGCGGGCCCGGTATTCGCCACGCCTCCGCGGAAACTGATCGAGGACTCCGATCGTTTCGACGATCCGTTGAACTTCGAAGTCCTTGGAGCTGGTTCTTCGAGGTCTTCAAGGCTTTCGAAATGCACGTGTTCTTAAGAATCCAGGTTTAGCAATAAGTTTTAAATTTAAGGAACATTAGAATTTTGGAATTTCAATCTTTGTTGATAGTCGAAGCGATTCGGAGCACACCAAGCCCATCACTAGACAGTAGGTAGTCTCTGGCCGCGATCGTAGGCACATTCGAGTGGACCATACAACTTTTGCGACACCCTGAAGACGCGTTCGTTGATTGGTTCTCTTTCATCGAGCTCGCTTTGCCATCCACCCGCGAAACGGGCGGAGAGATCGATGTTGTCCTTAATGTTTACCGTGAAACGAGGCAAAGTGGCGTGATCCCGGACGAACGAGAGACAAATAACGAACGAACTTCTCTGTGAGACGCGTGGGTAAAACATTCATGTGTTACGTGTTCGTGCTTTCGTGTGGTCGGTGTTTCTCCAAGCTTCTAACTGTGACCCCACCCTCCTTGTTCGACATTGTATCGACTAGCTTCTGTGTCGTCCCCATTTGTTCTCTTAAAAATTTCGTTATCCCTGTAAATGGTACGATCGGTGTACTCGATGTCTCCTCTTATTTCTGTGTCCTACGTTTCTCGCGCGGGCGTCAGCTTTGCGGCTAAAGAAATCAACATTTCGATACTCCAATTCGTATACATCCTTCTATTTTCTTCCTCTTCTAGTATTGTAATTTGAACATTTGAAAATTCGATTCAACATTTGTCTTCTATTTAGAACACAGATTTCATTGCACACTAAGAAAGCTTGAAACTTGCATCATTTAAAAGAAAAGTAGCTCGATTCCTGGCTTTCCCGATAAACAGACCGCTCGAGTGGCCCGACAAGATGGCGGCCGCGCGTTCCCGCGTATTTACACATACCACGGAGGAAAATATGTTTCCTACGCGTGTGCATGCCACACACACGAGTGTACACAAACGAATTCGCCTTACACACAGTCGCGCGTTTGTTCGAAGGAAGCTACTTGAGAAGCCAAGAGAAGTCAAGGGACAAGAGTGCGTCTGCGTCGCGGCTGATCGAGTCTCTAGCCGTCCATCGGTGCATAGAATCTGCTCATCGAACCTCGATCTCGTTTCTCGCGCTCGATGCTGATAACGATCATAAATAGAATTATTTTCTTGAGGATCGAGGAAACTCGTTCACGGAGTTTCTATGCATCCGAGTGTAGTGTTAGAAAACCGCGGAGAATCCACGAGTCGGAGATTCCAATCGAAATTCGACCAGACTTTCTCGCATGCCATCAACGTGACACGCTAACACAGATTTTAATCAGCTTCCACATTGTTGACGTCCCTCTGTTTTCGATGTGTCGTCCCAGATTTCGCTCCCATAACTGTTCAGTGTCTAAAATTCTTCGCGCGAAATCGGATGTTTCGCATTCCAGTCAAAGATTTCGAGTTCCGAGCTGTCGATTGTCTCGCGAAAACCACGGAACGGTAGATGAACTATCGCCGCTTCCTCGAAGAGACATTTGTTCGAAAATAGTTTCTAACATCCGATCGATTTCGTAGGCCAAGCGGAGAGCGCGCTGGAAAAGCTGAAGACGGAGTGTGTCTGCGGTTGGCTAGCGAGAGTGATGAAGTCGCACTACGAGGTGTTCATATCTTGCCTGTTGCCGCATCCAGCAGACTATGTACGCGTTGGGGGACACTGGTGCGTTTTGCAAACGAACTTCTACGAGAACGTTCCGTTTGATCAAGGGAATAATTAAGAAGAAGTTATTAACCTTAGCACTCGACAATTTTTCAATAAATGTTCAATATTTTCCGATGAGATCGAAACGACTTTCTTTGAAACGAGACACTAATGAGCAGTATTAATTAATGAGGACACATACGTAAATTAAGGAACAAACCTATTTTATCCCAATGTTTCATAAGACAATAATATTATATATTATTAGGAAGAGCTATACATTGAAGTCTTAATCTACTTCGTGTAACCCTAACAATTCTGATGATATAGGGAGACGCTAGCCTCGAGAACATCGCACCTTAAAGACGGACTGAACCGTCTCTTCTGTTTGGTCCCTTACGAAGTGATTACACCGGATGTCTGGGACTACGTGATGCCACATTGGATGGAGGCCATGGTGAACGACGTACCTGAACACGAGCTTCACGAATTGAAAATGATCCTATGGTATATATGCTCAATGTTTCATCTACTAAGAAAAGTCGGAAATAAAAATATCAATATCCCCTATGAAAAAAATAATTTAAAAAACTGACATACAATTCTCTTCGAAAAAGTTCTACATTCGAATCGATACGTTTAAATTGTACAACTAGCACGAAAGAAATACTTAAAATAATATGAAAAATAATTTGAAGGATTCCCAAGGAAGTGCTATCTCATAGAAAATAGAATGGAAGGAAATTTCTTACGAAAATTTAGAAAATCCTTCGAATTAAGGATTTCTAAGAAAAAACTGAATATCTTGGTTAATAAAAAAACGATTAAGATAAATTTTCCGACTTCCCGGAGAGGTTGATTCGTCGAATGAACAAGAAAATTCGACGTTTTAGCAAAATATTGGACCGCGACATGAGTCCGCTGGGCTTCGACACGAAAAAGATGTACAATTTCGTGGCGAAGCGGTTCGTCAACACCTGCGCGAAGGTGCAGGAGCAGGCGTTGAACTGGTTGCAGACGTTGACCATGCTGGAGATCAGCATTCCTCTCTGTCAACTGTTCTCGATGTTCAGCGACGGCGTGGCTGTGATGGGCGCCATGAATTCCTCGGAATCCGGTCAAAAGCCTACCAAAGGATCGAAAAGGGAGGACGAGGACGGGAACGCCATATGTATGCATCCGAAAAACAGCAGAAAATTAGCTGAACGCGTAACGCGTTCACCGTTGCTTAGAAATTCTATTAATTATTTAATAAAAACGAATGTTGCATCGTTTGCAGCGTTTGAACTGTACAGAAGAAAATCAAAGGAAAAAGTTTGCTTATTGTAACGTGGCCATAGATTAGATTAGATTAAACTAACCTAATGATTAATTAGAGAAGGAATATCGAGGACTATTGGCATCATAAGAGATTAAGAAAAATGCGAGTGTTAAACATAATACACACGTAATTAAACTAGCGGGAATGTTCAGTCGTAGAAAATGAGTCGGGAAAATCGACGCCGTTGTCCGACGACCTGGCTCCAACACCTAGACACATGGAATTCATGACGAACGCGGAACTGAACCTGTCCTGTTGCATCCTCATGCTCGATATATTATTGAAACAGGTAATATCAGTGCACCAAATTCTCCAGAACGTATTTCGATCATCCTGCAACTGGCAGGGCAGTTGAAACAACTGATTCTAAATTTCTCATTCCATATTCGGCAATATTCCACATTGCCAAAATTGCGATGGCATTAGTCTAAATAGTAATACAACAAATTAACACATTCGAACAAGTATACTACGACAGAAACCTACCTACGAAGAATGCGATCACAGAATTTCGGTAAATTTCAGACCTTTTGTTTGGACAGTCTAGTCCAGTTATGGGAGCAATGAAACTGTAAAAGAGGTTAATCTAAGTAACAATCATACAAATTAGCATATCTATATATGTAAACTATGACAAAAGCCTTACAGGACATAGAAAAGTATGATCACAGAATTTCGATAAATTTCACATTTGAAAATGAATAGTTTCTGTAGTCTAATCGTAAGAGATGCAAAGTTTCGAAAATGAATAGCTGTTTCTGTAGTCGAATCATACGAGGTGCAAAGTTTCGAAAATGAATAGTTGTTTCTGTAGCATAATCGTAAGAGATGCGAAGTTGCGTAAATCGAGTGATGAGAAACGAGACCAAAATTTCCAATTGCTCGCAGATGGAGCTGCAGAACGTGGACAAGCACACGGGCATCAACACGTGGGTGTGTAGGGACGCGTGCCACCTGATGAAGTCGATCGTCGCCTCGAACTGGAACAGCTGTCACGTATGCAGCTCGGACAGCGACGGTGCCGAGTGCACTTACTGCGAATCCAGGGTGATCTGGCATCAGCTCTGCCTGCAGTTGGTCACCTACATGGCACCGGAAAATCCAGCTTACCCGCCTGACGTGAGTTTGTTAGGCCGCGGCTCCTGAAATAACCGTGATCGCCTCGCGACGCGTCCCCCGCAAGCGGACCGTTCAATGACGCACTTGTCCACCGCGTTCCGATACGTTCACGATCGCGTTTCTCAAGGTCCCGGATGACAGATTGACCATCGGAACACTGGTTTGAATTTCTGAATTCGTTTCGGGTAGCGAAATGTGCCAGCGATACACCCGAGTTGACACGTTGACTGTCACGGTGGTCACCGATGACCGGAGCATCCAAATCACTTGAAAACGATGTAAATTTGTGAGATACCTAATGTCGAATGAGAATGTTTAATAACGTAAATAACTAGATGACAGTCCGACGTAATCATTTCGATACCAACTAACAAATAACTGCTGTTCTCCGAAGGTTTTCGTGGCAACGTGTTAATTGTACTTTGTTCGGGTTTATATCGGAGTATAGTTCGAAGAAATTATTAACCTTTTGCACTCGAATGTTTATCGGTAGAAATGTTAACGTTTTCTGATGAGATCTAGATGACACGGTTTGAAACTAGCGAGAAACTAATGAGAATTATTAATTAATGAGGAAACATACGTGAATTAGGGAACAAATCTATGTTATTTCTGAACCCATTTTGAGTATCGAACTGAGTCAACGATACACTCGGGATAGGTCATGGTACTTTGCTCAGCTCTATATCGGAATGTGGTTAGATCATTCGGTTAAATTTCCAGAAAAATCACTGCTAAATACGAACCATGATTTTTCTACGTTGCAGCGTGACACAAGCTGGCCTACTGTTCTCTTTATTTATAGTAATTAGCAAGACTGACTCCTACGATCTTGATCATTAAATATTGAACGACGAACGTTACGAGCAGATATTAATAACCGCAGGTTCAGATCCCGATTTAATAATTTTCAATCCTTAATACATTAGAGGAAATTTGGAAAATTGAAAATTGAAGTGGAATATACTTGTGTTTCAAATTCGAAATGACGCGCTAAAATTTTGTAAATGTTAAACCCAGGTTTGCAATGTAATCATCATAAGACAGGATACTTTCTGAATAATTGGCGATCAATAACATAACCGAATACAAAATATAAAACCAAATAACAAGATGAAGTATGAAATGGTCAAGTGAATAAGAAACAATCAGAACTATATAAAAAGATCAGATATAAAATGATCAAGTGAATAAGGAACAATCAAAATTAAATTGAAAGATAAAATGCAAAATGATTAAGTGAATAAGGAACAATAAAAATTAAATTGAAAGATAAAATACAAAATTATTACGGGAATAAGAAACAATCAAAACTGAATGAAAAGATCAAGTGTCTACGATTTCGAATTAATTGCGATTAAATGGGGTTGGGATGCGAATCGTTGCAGAAAATCGTGGACGAGTCGGCGGAGGAACACGGGAGGAAGAGTCCCGAGAGTTCAAGGAAAGGGGATTCGAAATCGAACGTGGTGATCAGCATGCAGGTACCGGAAACGCATTCCGTCAGCGGTGTCCTGGCGAACATGCCTCAGGTACGCTCTCACGGGCACAGTTTCTTCTCTCGATCTGACTAAATGGCTAAATTTCTCTCTATTTCTATTTATATATATATCCAAATATACATATAAATATAAATGCATACACGAATTGTTACACCGCCTAAAGTACACTGATCTGTCTCCCTCTTTGTGCGAAAACACTTCTCCGCAAGAATCAAAACAACAAGCAAAAAAGAAAACAAAAAGAAAAGAAAAGTAAAATAGAACAAGAATGAAACGATACAAAAAAAAAATGCGATATGCGAAAACAAATGCAGCATGCTCTTCGTCTAAACTGTGTGTGCCTATCTCTGTCTCTCTTCTTCCACTGCGAAATGTTGGGCGTTGTGTGACCAATGACACGGTAGGCTAATCTATGTGGCCGGAGGTAGCTATTTTGATCGTTTATATCAGTTCTTCGAACAGATCATGACAGCCACTGTAGACACTGTTTCGGAGCAGCTGGACCTCGCGGCCATCTTGCCCACGGAGAAGGTGATGTCAGCGGTCGCGAGGGCTGTCACGCTATCGGAAACCGATGTAGGTGAGAAAATCCAACGTTATATATGTTACTTCGATCATGAATTATTTATCTTTCCATTTTCGTCGATTGTTATATCCGTTTGAGTACCAGAGGTTTTTAGAAAGACCCGGTCGAAAAAAGCCGCACAGCGCAATGGCGCTTTCCGAATGGGATGCGAAAAGATCCAAGCAGCGCGACAGCGCTTGTCTTAATCTATGTTAATACTATTATATACATACAGTAATTTATAATAGATAACAACGAAATACAAAATGTATTACTTGGATTACTTATATGCAAAAAGAGTAGTGATGCGACGTACACGCGTCTGAAAAGTTGAGCGCGTTTCGTCACATAAGAGTGCGCCGTCAGTTGTCCGCATCGTTCAAATGCGCTGTGTTTTTTCGACATGAAATAGATATTTATTCTACGACTTTCTATTATCACCGTCGATTTCCATGTTATTATTTTCCAACTATTAGACCACGGAAGTTCGTACATTCACAGCGAAGGAAAATCTTCAAATGGTTCCAACTCTAGATCAATTCGAATGTTTCATTGCACAACAATTCAGCACGTTTTATCGCTACTAACGTTTTTGGTCAAAATAAAATACAGACTCAGAAATCTATCGGGAAATCGAAGATCCAGTGAAACCAATCTCTAAGCTTCCATTTCATCTATTCACACGCTAATAACAGGCTGATCGATCAACTCGAATTCACGCGTTCGATGCCTGACCACGCACGGACTCGTTCTACCTCGATGAATTAATTACTCTCTCTGAACAAGTGAACGCTATCGATTCCAGCTAAATGCGAGCCGAATGTCCGCTCACGGAGAGACTCGTACTACTGCGAATCTAGGGGAATTATCTTCTTTTAACCCTCGCGATATGAATCTTTTATGATCAAATTCGATTTTACATTTTTGTGAGTTCTGTACAAACCTGAAAGAATTCTAAGATACTAATCACAGTCCCTCATTTGAGACACAAATGACACTGTACTCAAATCTTTATACCATTTCGCAATACAAAGAAGAAATTGTGTTGGAGTCAAATTGACTGCCAAATAAACACTCGTCAAAACTCCTGTGCAGTCGAAACAGTTTTCTTAATGAAGCAGTAACAAAAGTCAAGATTCTCGCAAATGTTCAAATTCATACAAGAAATAGTGTCAAATCTGCATTGTCGGCGAAGGATTAATTTGCTATTGCGTGTAGCCGATGAAATGGGATTTCCGTTTCAGGTACTGCAACGGTGAGTGTGGCCAAACCGCGATTAATCGGGGAAAACGACCAGCCGTTGAATCTGAGTCCTGAGAACGAAGACGTGGACTTCTGGCACACTTCCGTTGGAAAGTTCCGGTTCAAGATCGAAGACCTGCCCGAGCAACTCCAATACATACACAAACTCTTGAAGGTAACAAATCTGAATTGCATTCTTTCAAGTGTGTTCGATTAACCCTTTAATTCCTGACGGCATCGTCTTGAAACCATATGTTCCAATATCATTAAAATGCGAACCAATGGACTAGTCACGAAGTCATCTGTATAAAATCGATGTATATTTAGTAATGCTTACCCAGTTTCTTGAGGTAGAATAGCACTTTGTACGAAAATACTTATTTTCGTTAAAAATGAGTTGGTTAACGTATACTGTGAAAATAAATGTATTTTTTCTAAAAGTTTCTATTTGGAAGATAAAAGGTTAACACGTTGACCTCCCCGAGAATTCTGAGCGTGTCGTATAATATTACTTATTCTTTCATAATAAAGACATTTATTACACAACATTAATTCTGGTATTTAGGAAATATTGACGGTCGACAAGCCAGACATCCTCTACTACATGCTCCAATGCCTAAACGTGATGTGCCTGTACGGCGACGCGTTCAACATAGCGGTGAAGGATCACCGGGGATTCTTCACGTGGTGTCAAGAGAATCTCTTGATCAAAAAGTAAGAATACGAATCTTCTCCAGAAAATATCTATGAAAACATATGCAAAATTATATCCTTCGAAAGTGTGCGAAGGAAAGTTCCTTTAAAATTCAACTCGTTGTGTGTAGAATCGAATGAATTAGATTAGTCTATTAATTCTGAATGTCTCGATGATTCGAAAATAAGATTATTGTTTATTTAACTCAGTCCAAGAACGTCGATTTAACTGGTTCCACTTTCAGGTGAATGAAAAGTATCAGGTATTTTCTGTATATAATATACACGTTGAAAGTGATCATTAGAATTAGTCTCAATGAATTGCAAGTGGATCACTGTTGCTCTTGCATAATCTTTCGTGTGACCCACAGCCTATGGGGTCTCCTGAACGCGGAGCATTCGCATATAGCGCAGATCACGGTGCCGTTGTTACTTCATTGCGTGACGTTGCCTTGCGGTACCGACACGTTTTGGCGGCTGATCGAAGAAGAGTTTCACGATTCCGATTGGCGTGTTCGGTTCGTCGCAGGTAGTCGAGCAACATTCATTTAACACTTTGACTGCCACGTCAGCTGAATTCGGGTGACCCATTTTTTTCTATGAAATTGACACTAAAACTACCAGATAGATCAAAGTTACCTAGTCCTGGCGTCTTCTTTTTGCAATATTAACATATTGCGCACTAGTAACGGGAAATTTCGCTTTTGTACTAAGATACTTAGGTAGAAAACTTTGCTAACTACCACTGCATTTAAAAAAATATTGAATGTAATTCGAATTGGTTGTCTGTGTAAAATATATTACATAACAATATGAAATTTGAGTTTTTCTATATATAATGATATAAGTTAAACTGAAAATCGCCATCCGCACAATTTAGTTTTCTGATAATTAGCCAGTACGCAATGTGTTAAAAAGATGACAGATGTTTCTGCGAGAAATTATTAAAGAAATTGATTTAGCTACACGCACATTTAATTGTAAATCAATTGAAGTCGCAATAGATGCACTCTTCGAGTTTCTATACAGTAATTTCAAAGAGTCGATTTAACTACTCGGTAGTTTTAGTGTGAAACGTTAATCTTGTTGGCGACATATCGAGCGAACCAAATTCTGTTGGATATATGAGATACAAAGACAGCCGAGCAGTCGTTACAAAGAACCTTCACTCTTTAGTTTCTGCTTTATTAATACTAGAATTACTACATCAAAATGACTCATCTCCGATTTCTTCTTTCACAAGTACTGAAAAGGCACAAACACCTCATCGAGATATTATAATGATTGAATACGTGAACTAAAATGAAATCTTAATGAAAGCATTCTTACAGTCTCCATGAAAAAATTAAGAAAGCTCGGTAGTTCTAGTATTGAGAGAACTGTTTCGACTGCGTAGGAGTTTTGACGAGCGTTGTTTGGCAGTCAACGTGTTAACGGTGATCAATCCGTGTAGCTTGGCAGACGGTACGATGCGAAATGATTTCGTTTCTTTTCTGAATTGACTAACCACCGACAGTCGAAAGGGTGACGTTGATAGCGAGGTTCATGGATTCGACGCCGCTGAGGAACGTGACGAGCTTGCAGGCGGCATTGGCGAACGCGTTCTGCTATCTGATCGTGAGCATGGACGACAGCAACGTTTACGTCGCTCAGAGGGCCACTTTGTTCCTCGGTACCATTCACGACACCGCTATGAGAGTAAGGTCACGCGGAAGAAACTTCTTTAACCCCTTGCCCTATAATGACGAGCGAGGCTCGTGGATAAGATTTCCAAATGGATTCAAGCCAATTTGTCTGTGCATGTTTTAGACTATTTTACCTTTTGCAATGTCTCACCATCAAAGTCAATCCTATTTACAAGGAACAAAACATTTCTTCCCATTTCTCGTAAATTATTGATGTTAACAATAGTTAGTCGAGGCTGGTCGCGAAGAAAATCATATGGCAAGGGGTTAACCTTCGAGGACTGGTTTTTTCGTAAATATATTAATGATCTCTTCTTTTACGAATATTTATGTATATTTGCAACGTGCGCATGATGCATAATTAGGGGATTTGTACACATGCCGGTCCTCTGAAGGTTAACGCTTCTATCGGACGGAATCGATTGAACTTGTCTTTGGATTTACTCTTGGGTTTCAGTCGCTGATACTCTGCTTAGAGACTCAGTTTGATACTGTGATAGTGGACCGACCTATGGTGCTCCAATCTCTTTATCAGCTTCACAACAGTCTGAGCGACAGACACATACTGACGTGGGAGTTCTTCTTGAACCGTTTCGACGCCCTTTTCCTCGCGGCCCAGATCAGCTTGGAGAGGTCCGGGGATATTCCTTATCCACGCGGCAAGTCGATTAATCACGCTTCGATCAGTCTATTCAGAGTTACTTCGAGTAAATGTTTGTTCTAATAAGGGAACCTTTTCAACCAGTACACGCCGATTCTGACGAAACTTTTCTAATCGGCCAAAATCCACTTTGAAAGACTGAAAAATAGTTTTTACATCTCTGAAACTAGGAGGTGCAGAAAAGAAATTTTCTATTTAAATTGTTCACCTCAAAATGAGCAGTTTAAATTTCTTTTCTGCACTCCCTAGTTTCAGAGACGTAAGTCAGCAAGAGTCAATAAGATAAGAAAGTATCAAATATTTTCTTGAGAACTATGTCTCACGTAAGCTTCATTAAAATCGGCGTGTGCTGGTTGAAAAGGTTCCTTTATAAGATAATTCAGTGCCTTGACAAACTGATGAAAAATGTTTCCAACGAGGCACAAGACGTACAGTACATGATGAATCGTTCCGTAGACTTGAGGAACACAGATCTGAACAGCGAGATCTTTATGAAGAAGCTGCACAGGGCTCAAGAAGCTTTGTCGCAGATAGACGGCAGCGGCTCGAACTCGATAAAGACACTGAGCGCCAGCTTCGGCACGAAATGGCCCTACAAACGCACCATGTCCGCGCCTGCATCGATGATTCCCCGACAGGACACGAAGCAAGGTACTAGGTCGAAGGGTACTTGGAGAGTACACTGAGATTCGCTATACGATTGTCTTTATTACGAATACCGTATATCAAGAGGCCAAAAGTTTGATGAAAAACTGATTCTAATTAGATCATCGTCAGGCTGTTTCCTCTCAGAGCTAGAATAACATCAGGATAGAGCGTAGATCGTCCGATGATTGTGTCAGTGTCTAGTGGATCCATAAAGAGACTAGGTGACGTGATTCGTGGAAATTGAATCTACTCTAAAAGTCACTCCCGATACATTAGGGTACACACCGCTGCTGTCTTGAATGTTTCGAGATTAAGAGGATTCCCACTACACGCGTGAATTATTCTCTTTAAAAAATTATGACAAATGAAGATGAACCATATCACATAGTAGGAATCCTTTTCAGAACAAATCATTCCTCAAAATGAATCTACGAAGGTCCCTAACCAAATCACATCTTACGTTTAATAAACGGGTCATTCACTAAATTTCAAAATAGTAATAGTTTTCAGAAACAAAAATCGAGTAGAAATCTGATACGAAGAAAGCAATCGGTAGTCCAAGAGCTAAGGTAGTTAAGAGACAGCACCGGTGTGACCGGAGATTCCGTCCGCCATTTTGTCGGCCGACCCGGCTAGCCGTAGAGTCTCTTTCTCTCGAACGGTAGCCGGTCACCACGCACCAACGACAAAAAAAGGAACTGTATACCGCACCCGTTTTTACGGTACCACGTTACTTTTGTTTTTGACTTGTGCTACGCTTCCCTCACCCGCGCGCAGAAAAGGAAAAGGTGTACAGCCGGCAATACTCGGCGCCTATCCTGAAGCGCAAGAGCTCCAGATTCGGACTGGGTCAGTTGCTGGGGTCCACCCCACCTAATAACAGTATACCAGGTAGAGTAGTGTGTCTGCGCTCGCCTCAAACACGCGGCATTCCTCTGTGTTACGCGGTTCAATGTTCCCGTGTTTCCCATTACCACCGCAGCCCTATTAAGTACTAACACCCCACCCTATGTCTGTATATACGCAGTATTTATATCATGGTTGTGTCGAGGATGTCGACATTCAGGGGAATAGGTGTGTGTTCGGTGTGGGACCACCGGTAAGTCCCTGTCTATGGGGTAACTTGGAGGATTGCTTTGGGGCCTGGGCTTAACGCTGCGCATCCGGGACGGGCAGACATTTCATATAACCTGTAAATCGATTACGAAGAGATTTATCTTCTTTCACGAGAATTTTTGTTATTATTTCTTGTCTTTCTTTTGTACCTCCTTCTGTCCTCGATGCTGGAAATTCGATCGACGGATAGAACGCTTGAAACTGGAATTGAAAAATATTTATTGGAACGTTGTGCCATTGGAAGGAAGTTCTGCCCCTCTTTGATTATACACTAAGGCTCAAAGATTTGGAATGTAACTTGTTGATATAAATCGCAGTTCACTTAAAACGATTATGATTTTCCTAGCGAGTCCAAATGTTTGAGCTTCAGTGTTCATATTCGCCGATTACTGTGCTAAGTGCGTCTGTTTTGTGAACGAATTCTTTCTTTTTTATGTCTTGTTGTCGCAATTGATAGTAACTGCTATGTAAATCTTGTCTCACTGGAATACAGTGAATTATTCATTTCCTATGTTACGAATGGCTTACATAGTACCCTGTAGATGATTTTTGTATTGCGCTTCTTTATAGACGCTGTAGGTAGTTTCGTAGCTATGTACGAATTAAATGATCGTTCAATGTTATTTTACGATCACTTAAAAGAATCACAGAATAGAAGTAAGAAGTAAATTTGAACGATCATCGAATTTCATCGGAACTGTAGCGAATGCTTGAACATTCTTCTATCTCTAATCTTAACCCGACTTCATGCCCTCAACATAGTCTCCTTTATTGATAAGGAATTTTAAAGAATTCTTTCAACTAATTTGATCTTCCTATTATATGATGACGAGGGTAAGATCCTTTCCCAGTTTTCAGCTACCAATACTCCGTAGATTCGAGTTTCAACTTTTAGCTTCTCCCGAACCAGTGCGCGCATTAACATCCATCAATATTACAGATGGCCACGTCCACTCGCTCAACATGGTCGACGAAACTAGCGCGTTGCCAGGCTGCACTTCTAAGATCATCGACTTCGAAGAGTCCGACAAGGAGACGATGCATTTATTGGTATTCCTCCTGATGCAATTTCTCTCGAGGCAGGATCAGGTAGATTCCTTTTTGCTTCAACTCATCCGAAATCCTCGTTTATCGTACAACAAATAATATGTACTCCACAGGCCTATCCGACGGACGAGAAACCATTGTCAAAGACGCAAGGGATCGTTCTGCGACACTTGTACCTTTTGCTAGGCTACAATCAGATCGAACGGACCTTTCATACTTCTCCTCAACGTCTAAGGTATAATATTCCAAGTTCAAACAATAACGTTAAACTTCATCCGTTAAATTTGTTTATGCGCAACAATAGACAAATGTCAAGCTGCAATTCCTTTATTCATTGGACATAGTCTCTACAAAAGCAAACGCATCGTGCTTCGTCTTTCGAAACTTAACACTTTCTCAGTAATCTCCCTTTTATCTGTGTTACAAAGGAATAATAATTAACACTCGGACAAGAGAATCCAATTCGAGGAAACGAGAAATTGAAACTGTAATTCTGACAGGGTCTCCCCGGTGTTCAACGTGTTCATCGCCAATCTCCCTCAGCTTCTGGACCAGAATCACGTGATGGGCTGGGTGATGACACCGCCGGTCCTCGCTATTTTGCAGCACTCTCCCTGTCCACCTCAAGGAGTGCCAACCACCGATCATCAAGCACCAACGTATAGCCTCTGGTACCTCGAGCCCCACAACAGACGCTCTTGGCTGATGTCTCTTTTGGTGATCCTCTATAAGGTGCAGCACTCTTTTCCTGAACTGATTTTAGCTACCCGTAACTTGCGAATATACATAGAGGATTGTTATTTTATCCAGTGTCAGTATAGCCAACAACCGTGGTGCAGCCAGTTGCAGGTGGTAATCAAGATAGTGCTGAACACGTTGGACATGCAGCACCATCAGTGCAAGAGGATCCCTGCTACGGTGGTGATGGGCGCTCCGCCCTCTAGATCACGTGGTAATTTGAAATCTAATCTTGCCAGTTAAAAGGTTCATCTTATCATTTTCGTATGAACTAACGTGTGCCTAAAAATTAGTGCCAACTAATAATAGTAATGAATTCACGTTATCAAGTTGCGACATTTACATTTTATAAACAAGGAACAGCAAGATTTCAATATTATCATCCACTTTATGAAGCTCTGCCTTGGGTGTATTATCAGTGATAGATCGATTGTTCGTTAGATGTATCGCAACCGTCTCTCGGCGTGGACCACGACCTAGCAGTGAACACAATAGGAGAAATGAACACGGAGAGTCCTCCGATAAGGACACCCCTGTTCTCGGTGCACCAAAGAAGCCCCGGAGCGACTCACAGTCAGATGGAGACGCACTGGGAGGAGAGCACGCCGAGCTGTCGTTACAACAACAAGCATTCCAGGTCATTTTATTCACGCCACTTATCTTATAGGATTGCATTTTAGATGAAATCTTAACCTTCCCTCGATAAGGTAGAGCATTAGGCTACTCTAGCTTGGAATGCTCCTTGATCGACACGTTAGCGGACACTGCACTTTCACGGATTCCCCGTTAAACCCCCCCCCTGTCTTCAACATTGTTCTCGCTCTACCAAAAGAATACCCATCCAAGATCACGATAATTCCGTTTCGAATCTGGGGAATACGATTTTCGAAAGCTTGCACCATCCCTTTGCGTTCCGACGAGTCGAGTCGTCACGAATCTTAGAAGCTCTCGATCGATCCTGTCTTTGAACACTCGCCCACGAGAGAATCGGTTAGTCTTGAAGAGGCGTACGTCTAGAAACCGTTGTTACGCGAGCACATCAGAAAACGCAGAGGAACACTGAAATATATTTAAAGAGTAAATACAGACGCGGTAGGAACGAACGAGACAACTGTACGTTAACGTTGCGTCCCCGTGATAAAACGATTGATAGAGCGCCGTACGGTGTCCGAACTTGTAGAAAGTGTCCAGGAGCCAGAGAGTACCATCACACACACTCGTGCCTGTGCTTACACTTAGTAGCCGCTTGTTACAATTTCCGCTATTGTGAATGCTCTGCAAAGCTACTCGATCAATGCGGATGATACGGAGTCCGAGCTGGCCGCAATACCCGAGAGCCCAAATTCTGACAGCACCTTACATGGCAGCAGTGGTGGCTCGCTCGGCGAACTGGAGGAAAGCCCGAACGCCGTGACCAGGAGCGTCTCCCTGTACGGGCCCAAAGCCTCGACCACGTTCGACGTCGGGAGTCGGATCGACTGGGGTCAGCATCTCAGCAGGAAGACGGATTTCAGCAGGCCCACTTGGTTCTTGGGGAACGACGACGATT